CGATTTGGCTTGTGCTCTTACTTCCTTATTATATAAAATGCGGTCATGGCTATAGAAAAAATATGCCTCTCGATGTGCGTAAACGTCGATATTTGGTTCGTTTAAAAATTGTTGAATACCTAAGAGAATATTTTTGATCGTTAAGGTTGGATGCCAATCATAATTCTGAACCAATAATGATGAACAAACAATACCATCTGCCGAAATGTTTGGATGAAATAATGGAGGCTGAAATATACACTTAGGTGGACTGGATGGATAATCGTCATTGAAAATCATACGTAAAAAGTACATACCACCTTGCCAAGGAGTCTGAAAAATTATTTTTAAGCCATTGCTTTATTGAAATAAATTCACCAATAAATAATAAATAAATATTGTAATATTAAAATATTTATCATGCGGCTGAGTTATAAATAAATACAAATATTTCCTATAAACTACATATATATATATATATATATATATATTATTTTATATATTTTTACAAATATGGATGTTATAAAAGTTCATAGTTTACATCATGTATGTTAAACTTCATAATATAAACTAATTCATATAGATCATCATATTTTAACTGCCATATCAGTACAAATGTTAAGTTCAAGAATATTGAATAGATTAGATTAGATTATTTGTTAACCACAAATATTTTTCCAGAGCCACAGCATTTAAGAGATGCAAATTTTTTTTTAATTTACAATAAAATATTATTCTATTTGTGGTTTTTAAGCCTGGTTTCCAAGACTGAAATTGTTGAAAATTACTATCTTTTTAGTAAGTTAACAGATTAATTATTCCAACAGTTAGTATATTAGAAAAGTATTTCAATAGCAATTCATTGCACATTTAATAATTGTCTTGAAGGAAAAAGAAACAATGATTAACTGTGAAAGTTAATATTGAGAGAAAGTTAAGATTGTAAGAACCCAACTATAGATATAAAAATGTAAAATAACTGCTATGAAGCTGTTGTTTGTTATAAATCAAAAATATTTTATAACAGCTAATCTGTCATATAATAGTATGTAATTAATACTTACATTCTTTTTTCCTGGAATATAACACTCCCAATTCATATAATCCAATGTGCCATCTGCATTTTTGATTGGCTTAGCTATAAAACCCTATAACCATATATTTGTAAATTAGTTATTTGTACAAACACATCTATAATGTAAAATTCTTTTATAATTTATTAAAATTAAAATGTATTATAATTTTCATGGATGCCATTTTTAGATTTATCTATGTCTTAAGTATTACTTATGTTGAAATATCAGACCCATAGCAAAATGTCTGCTTAGGGTGCTTGTTCAATCATAGTCTAAAGAAGGTAATTGTAATGGGTCTGAAACGTCAGTATACTACTGAAAGCATGAATATAGTAGAAAACTTAATATAATAATCTATATAAAGTTATAAGACTGATAATTGTTAGAATATACATTTAATACATTTATAATATAATTAATAATTGATGTAACATCACTTACAAATGGTTGATGCCGTTTCCATTTTTTACGTTCTTTAATTAATCGATTAATTGCAATATCGGACATATTCCTGAAAATGATAAAAGTTACTCAATGCTAATTTTAGATTAAACCATACATTTTATTAAATATATGATAATTTTTATTTTTATTTTTAATAAATATAAATAAAATATACATATGAATATAATAAAGAGATGAAAATAAATGATACTTTTAGATGCTATAATCTACATTAATTCAATAACCAGATTGGACTTTATTATAATCAGTTCAAATTTTTAAAATAATTAATCATGCAAATAAACATATTACGTTTTAAAATAATCATTTGAGTCTTATTAAATCACATTAACAATTCTATAATATATTTATATATACTATATATATATTTATTAAATGCATACTTTGTAGTACCAAATTAAACACAAAATTATTTTAAAAAGAAGTTGTAATAAAAGTATAGTAATTATTATGACAAGATAAATTGAAGATTTTAGTGGAATAACCATGCAGTTCCGTTTTTCAAATATTACAGAAAAGAATTATTTTGAATTTTAAAACTTACAAAGGTAAAATTTTTATTTTGAAATTTGGAAATCGTTACTTAATTATTATTTAATTAATAACTGCAAGTTTATGTATAATTATATCTTAAAAATAAATTATAAGTTTTAATTTAATTGTTTTTTCAGTATTTTTTAATGGAGCGTTTTTGTCCAGGATTGGCAAAAGATTTTATTTATATTTTGTATTGTAAGTCATATTTTATCTAATAATATTATATTTATTGGTATAAACAAAAAAAATATTATGAAATTACATTTAAGAAGTTTTTAAATAACTCTCAATGTTAATAAATCAGAAAATATTTTTTGTAAAGTAACTTTTATTTAAAAGAAGGTACTTTACTGTTATCTCGACTACTGAGAGTCTCAATTTTATTATCTCGTTTACCTCCTCAAAGTCACAACCGACATGAATTCATAATTTATATAGTTAATTCTATGTATATTATAGTATAACGTGTATTATCACATACATTCAGAGAAGTGGAGAGTCTTTATAATATATTAAAATACAAAATTTTTCCTGATGTATAATTTTTTTATGACCATTTATTACATTGACGGTGTCTCGGAAGTAAACCCTTCTGTTGAAAGAATTCAACGGCATCTTTTTCACTACTACGTAAATTCCAAAGATTCATAATTGTAAATACTAAATTATAACTAAAATAATTAAATTTGAACGTCGGTTGGAGGCGACAAACATTATCGTTCAACAGTGCTGATGACGGAGATTTACTGATACGTACAGTCTCATAGACATAATAAGATAAATATCTTAATATTTCTATGTACAGTCTATATAACGAAATTAGACTAGTGGTAGTCGGGAAAACTGAAAAGTACCGAAAAGAAATATAACACATGTAAATCTGCATAATAACGTCAAATTATTATTTGGCCTATTACCAATGTTATGAACAGTAAGCATTATTACGCGGGAACGACATAGGCGATAGCGAAAAATGTATCATGTGTGACAACGCTGATAACAATAATAATAATATATAGTATAACCGTTCCGCGCGAAAACACGGTAGCTCCGCCCATGACCATGTTCTTGCCCGCAACACGCACAACCAGATGGCTCATTTTGCATTCTATCGGGCGAAATAATAATCACGTCTACCCGGTTGTTACAAAAAAATGATGGACGATTTTTTTCTAAATCAGAATATATATATATATATAGACCTCGATTTTGAAAAGAAAATAGGAGTTGCCTGGTTCTTCCTGTCAATTCGAAAATATTACGATGATATTTAAAAAGTACTTATGTCGTTAACATCGATTATATTTGAAGTATTACTACTTACGAATTGTTTTGACGACGTCGATCCTTCAAAAAAGCACTCATCTAGGTGTCTTAGAACACAACATTGAAATTTTAAAATGTTCTTACGTGTAAACGACCGTGTGCACAACTGCACTTATTCGATACATGTACCGTCGCAGAATATCGAAGGCGCTCTACGGGTAGGGATATTATACGAAGAATTCTCCCCACCATTCGATATAATACGTCGGATGTTGTCGGTGTGTTAGGAAGATTATAAAAACCAAATTGATCAAACCAATTGACAAATAGCGTGTTATATTATTGTTTGTTTTCCGTACCGACAATCATAGGGTATGCAAAGCGACCGGTTGTTCTTGTGTAAACGTCAGGTAACAGCGGCGACAAATGCTTGCCGTCGAACCGTCTTAATCCGTCACTGGAATACCTAATTAAAAATATGGGTTAGTTTTCGTTCCTTCCTGTAGAAGATATCCGTTTCCAATTCAATTAATTCTACAATAGATTAATATCATACAACAAAGGAACTCAGAAAAATATATTTTTCTTAAAACTAACATTTTCGTATTTTTTTTGGAAACAATAATATAATAAATTATATTATATGACTTTGAATTTAAGAAAATAAGTTATATTATTGTCCAAAAATATTAACAGTATAGATCCTTGAAACATAAACCGTATGAGCATATTTACATAGTAAACATATTATAATTATATTTTTAATTGAAATTATTGAATTAATTAAATCTAAATCCATAGTTTATACTTGGTCAATTTAAATGTTTTTAATTCTGTCTAGCCAATTCCGATTACGAAATTATTAGTTACATATACAGTGGTTGCTCGTGAATTCTGGTTGTGGAGATACGACTTCAAATTTAATATCCTTAATTATAGGATTAACAAATTAAATATAATACAATAATACACTATATCCATATTGTTACTTTTAAAAGAGCACAGAACACACAAAAAAATTCTTTAAATTTTTTTTAAATGTTAAATTATTGTTGCTGTTGTTGCTTCGACTATATGAAATGATTTGGTGAAAATCCGATAAAAAAAAATTATCATTCTAAGAGATATTAAGAAATGTAGAATAGCCGCGTCACTGGGCTCTACTCATTATAATCGCCTATCTTATACGTGTAAAAGTTCTTAACTTCACACAACGATTTATCTACCTAAACACTTTTTGAAATTTAATTTGCGTATAAATGTGTGGTTTTATGTGTTGAAGAAGATGCAAGTATCAGAATTTCAATATGACGTTTAGTTTTTCAAATATTAAAAATCTTAAAAGAGGCATTTTTGTTAAACGGCGCGTCATGACTAGGGTTGCCAACTTTGGAATTTGAAAAATACCGGCCCAAGTGTACAAAAAAAAAAAGTCCTCATTTTCCGTGAATTTTTAATATTAATATAATAAATTGACGAATTATATAATTAATTTCATATATTAAAATAAAAAAATTAATTATATTAATATTACATTATGTTAAACTTTAACTATAAACTTATAAATTAAACTATTATAAACTTTTAAATTTATATTTAGTGGCATTTTTCTCGGTGTTTAATAAATATTTTTCATTTTGTATTTCATCAAAGAACTCAGAACAATTGTATGTTATGTTATTTCTTATAACTAGTTCGGCTTTAACCGTATCGTACCCTAACGACTGATATTTTGTCTTCATCTTTATCATTCTTTGTAAGAAAAAACTTTTTTATGGTGGACGATTTATGTATAGAATTGACAGATTCTCCGTGTTTTTTTGATTCTTGATGTGTTTTTACAGCTTTAACACCATTATATTTTACACTAAAAACTGTCTGACATAATACACATCGAGCTTTATTAGGGTTATTGTGTTTAGCGATCCAATCAGAAAATATTTGATCTTTTAACCATTCATCGTTAAAAACACAATTATGAATTCTTTTTTTGTTTCATTTTCATTTTCGTTCATTTTAAAAATGCGTATAATTTTTCACTCGTCTATATGCAATGTAAAAATAATACTACAAAACAGTCCGAACAGAAAAACGAAAATTAACTCTATTATGAATGTCTATCATTTATTCACATACGAGTACGACATAGTAGGAACAAGGTACATAATAATCATACTACTCACAAAAATGTCAAAGTGGACGATAGACGTCTGAAGTCATTAAGATATACGATTTATTGACAGTAACATGTGATAACTATATTATATTTAAATGTAGTGAAAATGGTGATCTTAAGAGTTAAAAAATTGTATATTTAAACAGTTGTATTTTTTTTCTATAAAACTCATATTTTTTTTGGAATGAGTGATAAACATATGATATGAAAAACTTTTTATTATATTTTTCAGATATATTGTTAAATCAAAAATATTTTATAAACATATTTAAAAAGATAATCAAGGAAATATTCAAATGTAAATTTTGTATTAACAGTTAAAAAATAATCTTTTGAAAACAGAACCTAATCCATAGCGATCATATTATGACACTTAATTATTATTTTTATGTTACAACAAAAACAAAAAATTCAATAATTTCAAAAACCGATATGCTGTAGATTTTTCCGTATTTTTGTAACTATACAAAATTTCCACCCAGTAATTTCCTATTATTTTAATAGATTTTATAATTATTTACTATAAGTAAAAATTATTACGATGCAGCGGTAACTTTGTTTAATTTAAAATGTCACATATGTTATAATAACTGTATAATTAAATAATGAATTTTGTGTTTTCTATAACGAATCAAATAATTTATTGATTAATTTAATTTCTATTAAATTATTAATAAAGAATGCAGGTTATCAGTGCCCTAGAGCAAATCATTTTTGCCCCTCCCTCTCAAAAAAATAAAGTTGTAATGAAACCAAACAAAAAATTCCTGATTTCTATGTATAAATTAAAAAAATAAAATACTATTATAAAATATACTTAATATAATAATTAATCTACTTACACTAAAAAGTATAACTAAATGTTTAATGTCACAGAATAGTTTTCCAAAGAATTTTTTTAATGAATGGAAAATAGACACAAAATAAAATTAGAATATCAATAAATTGGTTCAAAAAAAAAAAAAAAAAAAATACAAATAACAATTTAAGTGATTTTTTAGTATTAACGTTAATAAAAAAAAAAAGAAAATTTAATTTTTTTTCCTTTGAATGTATGTTTTTTCTATATTTAATAGTTGCAAATTGTTGTATCAGTTTTTCCTACTTCATTTCCTCAACCAAATCAGATCATATGCATTAAATTGATAAATTCGACATTTTTTCTGATATTAATGGCGATCTTAAATAATTTTTTACACGTTTCAAAACAGAAAACGATCTCTTGTCACTTGCATTTAAAGAATGTAAAATACAAATAATTCTTAAAATATTTTCGATATTAGGACGATGCCTCTAAATACGATATTTTTAGTATTCTCAGCATTGATGTAAAAGTATTTTTGTCTTCTAACGGAAGATGTTGAACAATAGTTAGGTTAGGTACTAACTTTTCTACAGAATTTGTTTCTATATCTAAATTGTACAATTCAACATTTAAAAAAAAACAACGACTGAAAATTAAATCAGAGTCATAGAAAATACTAAGAATAACAATAACAGGCCTTCCAACAATGCATATAAAAATGGCGTCAGATTCAAAAGTTGCACACTTTATGGAACACTCTACATATTAATTTTTTCTAATCATAATTGAAAAACTTTTGCTTAAATAATTATTGTAATTAATATATTTATTTTTTTTGTGGCAGTTTTATTTATTAATTTAAATTTAATTTAAATTTGCCGCCTTGAAGCAAATTCTCCTTTTGCACATAGGTTAATTTGGCCCTGCAGGTTATACCAGTAAGAACATATTTTAATAATTATAAAAATATAAAATAAACATTTTTTCATTTTCTTCCTGCTATAACCTGAATTTTTTATTATTACGTAATTATTACCCTAAATATACTTTAACATTATAATTTTATAAATAAGTATATAATATATTGAGTCTATTATATTGCGTATGGTGTTATCATAGTTATGGTGGATGTTTTTATTATTATAATTAATACCTGTATATCAATATACATAATATAAAATTATAGAAAATAATTTGGTTAAATTTATCAATTTATTATTCTTGCGTATATATAATTAATTATAAGCAATGCATTTTAAATGTAAATTTTTATTACATTAAATAAAAATTTTAAAAGTTGTCAAACTTATAACTTCGACCCTTTTACACATTTATTTAGTCATATTCATTGAATTTGTTCGAATGTCTAAAAACAATAAAAATCATTAAGAATCCAAGATGTCCATGACGCACTCAGAATAATTAAATGTATATCGTGAATAAGTCTTAACCGAATTACAATTTATAAAATGTTCTTGTAATGAATAAAATATAATGAATACAATTCTTCGTTGTGTCGATTTTTATACATTTCATTTGTAGGTTTCCCATCTTTTGGCAATGAAGTAGTAACTATAATTTATTTATTTTTCTTCTCATAAAAGTAAAATAAGAATGCTGCTATTACATAAAATATAACTATTTCTT